GATTTGCGGAAAGTTCGCAAAAACAGCTGGTACGATGGGAACTGCCATGTCACAGTGGAGAGAAAACAGACTGCCTGGGGTTGGATAGATACCAATAATATTGAAGAGGGAAACAAAAGGATGTGCGCACAAATAAAGAAGGTGACCGAGCGGAGACAGAAGGTTTTGAGAGCAAATCAAACTCTGGTAGAGCTTAGAAGCTAGTGTCCAAGGTATACTAAATTGATGCAGTGAACACTGCGCCAGCCTGTTTTATGGCAGTGAAACTAAGATATGGTGAACCTAATTCCTGCAATCGATGGCAATAGGGCAGATGCTTCATTGCCCAATTAACAAAAACGGAGAATTCCACAGTCTGCGCCAATTACGGTGGGATAAGACTTCGATAGCTTGAAAGGGATCTGCCTCTACGGCGCTGTGTCTGAATTAGATATCCCCGCAAAACTTAAGCGGTTGAGTAAGCTAATGTTAAGCAACAACAAAAGCTCCATATTGATCGAAAAGGACGTATTCGAACTGTTCGATACAAAACGAGGTTTTAGACTTAATGACATTTTACAATGCAACTTCTTTTATAACATAAAAGAGTACAGCTGCTGGTATTTCGTCCGATAAGGAAGCGGAGCATATAGAGAGAAATATCTCCTGGCATGAAACAAACAGTTATCGTTTTCACTTCGCCTATTTTGAGTCCACCATTAACACGAAAAGGTGCTACTTTGTACTGAGCAGGCAATTGAAAGTTGAGTCATCTCGCGATGAATGAAGATCGCAATAAACAAGCCACTAATCTCTCCAGTCTTGCTTTGTCGTGCGGAGCCATATACGAAGACAACAACTGATGATGGATGATAAGCCGTTGGGAGTTTTCGTGAAGAAGATTTTTGTAAAAATTTAGTACGGCAGTCGATTGAACGATGAGGAAGAAGCCATAATATATATTTATTGCAATCTTGCACTGAAATACTAAACTGGCAACAAGCATAAACGAACTGGTATGTAACTAGTATGAAGCTGAATCATAATTAGCTAATTTCGATTTGGTTGCGCATCACCGTATCAATGAACATATGCTGATATCAGTAAATGACATAAGATGAGTTTTAATACTTCAACTAGTAACATTCTATTGTGGTTAAAATCAAGTATATCTTACAAAAGGGATGAATGTATTCCAAAACACACTCTCTCTGGTTAAATGTTGCCTAGCGAGTGTTGCTATCTTAGATTTTGTCTTCCCTTATCAGGCTTTCTAAAAACCGATGCTGAAGTCTATTCAAAGCGATGTATTAACTCACGCTCTCTAAAGCTTATTTTCTCCGAATGATGAATTGTATTTGTGTTTTCATAAAAAGCGTCAACTCATTTCATAAATGTAAGCGTAAATTAAAGCGACCAGAAAGATCCAATAACACGGTCGCCTAACACTCACTCTGTTTTATAGCCACTATTTATTATATATATTTATTTATTTTTATTTTTTTTAAATAGCGCTTGTGAAAATTTTATTCAGGAAAAAAAATGTAGTTTTATTTTTTAAATTTTCTTTGCAACAATTCCATCCTAAATGAAACTGAAAAGAAACTCATACACACATGCATATATGCAAATGTTGCGGTTGTTTTATACACCTACATTTGTTTCTATCGTCCAAAAACAATCAAAAAGAAAGCATATGCACTTCCTCATATATTGTACATTCATATATTTCAAAAAAACATACCCCTTACATGACTTATTATGGAATTTGGTATGCAAAAACTATTTATTAATTTCATATATTCTCTTCCGTATCTCCGTGTATGCACCGAACACTAGAGGAAAAGTTATTAGTTGCGAGACAATGCTATATTAGTTACTTCTCTTTTCTATTTACTTCCAATTGTCGGTCTACAAATCAGCATTGAATTAGTGAAATACTAGTAGAATACTAGTTCATACTTACATATTGATGACTTGTAGCGTGAATACCATATCTGAAATCTATTCATCTACATCCCTTTGCTCGCCCCTCATCACGAAGTGAAAAGTATTAGTATTTCTTTTAAAAGCACTTTTACATATTTCCCAACGCCATTCGAAACAGAATATTTACAAACTACTTTAAGACAGTGGAAAACTTTCGGAAATGCAAAATTAAATTTCAACGGCGAATAGTAAAGCGCTGCTTTGTAAAAGAAACTGCGTCAGAGAATACACAACAAAGGGGGACAAATGGAGATGAGGAAGAGTGGCCTTGTAACGCCATCAAGAACCACATTAACGGTCATAAAAAGCAAATCAAATGAAAGGCAAATAAAAATGAGCTTAAACAACGAACAAAAAAAACAGAAATTCATTACGAAAAAAGTAAAAAAAATCTAAAAGATATATGTTTACTCTTACGTTTATGCCGACAAAGCTTTATTGTGTGTTGATGTCTCTTGTTTCACTTAAGGATATAATGAGCCAAAGCGGCCGTGGAAAGAAAACCGAAATAATGCCATGCAGAACAATTTATATGCATGTGAGAATGTGGGGAAGAGTCTTTTAAAATTTTAGAAAAAATTCTGTTCAAAATGGAAATTAAAGTGGAACTAACACACGTTTATGTAAGTGATATATGTACATGTATGCAAATGCTAAGTACTCGAGTGTACATATTGCAGATATGCATCTCATCTCATCTCATCTACATGTATGCAAATGCTAAGTACTCGAGTGTACATATTGCAGATATGGTCAAACTCAGGAATTGCCTAACTAACGTCAAATACATTGGCTTTTGATCGCAATAAAATAGACAAAAATATTTAAATAAAGCTTTTTTAACAAAAAAAAAAGAACAATAAAAAATATAACTCATATAAAGTACACTGAAAATAAAATAAATATAAAGCAAAATTAAATTAAGTAAAATAAAATAACAAAAAAATAAAGAAAATAAAATAAAATAAAATAAAATAAAATAAAATAAAATAAAATAAAATAAAATAAAATAAAATAAAATAAAATAAAATAAAATAAAATAAAATAAAATAAAATAAAATAACAAAGGAGAAAAAATTGAAAAAAAAATACCAAGGGATTAACAAAAGTTCAGTCAACTGGTGACTTTCAATTTGTTTTTTTTAAATCTAAGAATACCGAAACCTTTGCAAATACTTTATTAGTCTTCCTTCAAAATTTTAGAACGATCAGCTGAAATGGAGACGAGGAAACGCAAAATAGCTGAGCATAGGTCAGACGAAAGTCCACCACCAATGCAAACAGAAACTCGTCATGTGATTGTTTTCGGGTTTCAACATAATTTACAGCCAATACAAATATTCAGAGAATGCCAAATTGCGTATGAAACGATTGCACCGCCTTTAAAGATTATTTCTATGTGTTTCCGAAGATTCCAGACGGGACATTTCCATAGAGGACGACGCCCGAGAGGGTCGACCCAACTCTTCCACTGATGATGTCACTGTAGCTCTGGTGAAGTCCAAATTGACCCAAGAAATGATTGAATTGGGTTCAAATGTCATGTCTGTATCGCGAATATTAAGTAATTATCTGGGATACACGAAGAAATCTGCTCGATGGTTACTACTAATTTCAAATGGGGCCCAAGAAAGGGACTCGAGTGCGAGTGCATTTTGCCCATTTTTTCCTAAACAAAATCGAAAATGGTCAGTATAGAAACTTTAATAAAGTCGCTGCTGGTGACGAATGTTGGTTTTATAATAATAATTCTATGATCCAGAAACCAAAGAACGGTGAATGGTATGGAGCCCAACAGGAGCAAACCCACCCGTAAAATCTAAGCAACAAAAATCAGCAACAAAAGTAATGATGTCAGTTTACTTCACCCGAACTAAAGTAGATTTTATTTTACTGGAAAAACATCATTCGAAGAATGCTTACCAAGAGTTTTCAAAAATTTGTTCGAAAACAGGAAGAAAGAAGATTTTGAAGATTGTTTTCCGAAGTGGGTCTATAGGCTTAAGTAATGAAATGGAATCAATAGCGTTTGTGTAGAGAAGATAAAAAAGGTCAAAAATTACGAATAACTATAAAAAATTATTTTTTTTTCAACTTACCGAACTTTTGTTAATCCCCTCGTATAACAAGATAGCAAAAAGGGAAAATATATAAAATTATAAAAAGCCGTGTCTCGTCCAAAAACTTATGCCATGACACTTTTTGATCGTGCTCTCTTGGTACTGTTAAAAAAAAAAAAAAATATATATATATATATATATTCATCAAACTTTCTTGCCATTAAAGCTATGTCAAAACAAAAAAAAAACACAAAGCTTTCGATTTATTTATTTTACTATTTTTTTTGTTTCTTCTTCTTTGGCGTATGCTTTTATGCCTAAACCGGCTGGTGACGACTTTCTGGCCAACGGCCAATTTATACATTTACGAAATAAATACAGAGTTATAAACAAATATATAGCGTACAACAGCCGTTACCAACTGATAAAGGAGGAAAATATAAATGCACATTTACAAATATACATTCAAGCATATAAACATATGTACATGTATACACGTATGTATATGTACGCTCGTAGGAAAATCTCATAAAAATATGCACGTCACTAAAAAATAATTGTGTGTCCCAGCCTGAACTCAAACACATACAAGCGCACAATACACCACACGGCGCACTGCTCAAGCTTTTTCGTCCTTCATTTTCTTATATTTCCCATTTTTTTTTTTTTTTTTTTTTGCAATTCAAGTTGATATGCATCTATTTGCGTTCTTTTATTCCACCATTCTGCCAGACGATAATTTTTTGTATTTCACTTTCATCTGTCCTCCCAGTCAATTGCAACTTTGTATTCTTATCGGTTATATGTATGTATGTATGCATGTACTTTTTGTGATTTTTTCATCTTGTTCTGCTGCTGCTGCTGCTGCTCATACTTTCCCACTTTTCAGCTACCTCAACTTATTTATTTATTTATATATATACAAATATATATGTAAGTGTATCTGTATGTATATTTATTTTCATTTTGCAGATTTCATCGCATTTTCGCAAATTTAAGTCACGACGCTGCCATGCGCCCGGATGAGTTCACTTCACTTGACGATTGTACCAGTCTACAGACATCTATACACACATACATATATATGCCGAACAGTAAGCATTTTCACATCTCGCATCGCCTGGCGCAAGTAGCTCCAATTGCTGAATATGATGCGAATTGTGGCGTTGGCTGGACACGGGCGTTGGGACGTTGGTACAGCAGTGAGACGAGGGTTGCAGGCGCACGCTGCTGAGAAACGAGAACGCGGTGGAAGGGCCTGTGAAGTGCTGTAAATATTTTGTTAGTGCAAGAAATTACTTAACAAAATTACTTAGTCTGTATTTGTAAGATGTAAGATTTAGTGCGCTAAGTAATTAGTTGTTAGCGAATTTGCGAATAAATAAATAAATAATTGCAACGGTAACCATGTAGTATAGCGCATGTATAGGGTTAAACAAATTGAAAGAAAAAAAAACTATAGAAAACCATTCATCATTTTTGTAATTTCTTAAGAAAAATGCCATGTAAGCAGTGTTAGCGAAGTGATGGAACTCTAATTGAAACATAAATACATAGATATTTTCTCTACTAATTGGTTTATTTCAGTAGAAATTATTTTTCAAAAATATTTAAAAATTTTTCAAATTTCAGTAATTTTCTTAGATCTAAATTAAATATTGGATGCAAAAATTATTTTCTTAGGCGACACCAGAATCGAATTGTAAAGGAATACTCCGTTTCCGAATTATTCCACGCGCTGCAGTGGGTTCGCCTACAAAGCTCACTATGTCCTCAATTTGAAATGGCGCTGTTTGGAATAACTCCAGTGACTCCTACTAGATTTTTAACGCCATCGAAGCCACTATAAAATATTGGGTTTTTGGTTCGCATTATAGCGTTCATACAGTTCTTGTTTCCACCTTTAGCGTTACAGATGACGAATAATTTTCAATTAGGCCTTCGACTTTGCAACTTCCGAGCCCTTGAGAGGCCAAAAAAAAAAAAACAAACAATAATGATAAAATTTTGTACATTGATTACAAGATCACCTCCTTTTTTAGACTTTTTAGTAAACCCAGTCAGCCTAAATTAACTTTTCGCGGATATAGGTCAGAAGCCGAAGTCTTAATATCTTTCTTGAACATATAAAATTTATGATATTTCACTTAACAATTAAATATTAATTCTCATCTCTGAAAAATTGGTTGGAAGCACATATATGATGAAGTTTTCCGATTGCGATGATTTTCAGTTTCAAAGATTATGCTATATATAAGTATGTTTGGTACTTTACGCCCTTTTTGATGCCTTTTGACGGATTTTGAACCAAAATTTCTAATCTGTACATATCGATTGCTTGGTAGCTATATGTTGTGGCCCTCCGATTACGATAATTTTCGATGTCAATGTTTATTTGCAGCTAAAAATAGAATAACCAATACCAAATTTTCTGCTCTTAAATGCTTTTTTGAGACCAAAAATCTCATATCTAAACAAATTTCAAACTTCAAAAATATACTATCCGGTGCGATCTATCCGGTTCCATCAAATTCGATCATTTAAATGTACCATCTGTATTTTTAGTTTGGTTGATATATTTCAACAACTTAGGGATTAGCTTGCGTACGAACTAGTGAACAAAGGGCATGGCAAAATCAATTAAGCATTTCCATTTATGGTACTTTAATAGTACGGACCAAAATTAAAATATAATTACATATGAAAGAAAGGTATAAAAGTTGAATTTATTTTATTTTATCTTATTTTATAAATTTTTATTTTTTTTTTTCATTTTAATTTTGTTTTTCCTTTATTTCACTATAATTTATTTTAATTCATTTAGTTAATTTTATTTTTACATTATCTTATTTATCTTTATTTATTTTATTTTATTGTATTTTATTTTATTTTATTTTATTTTATTTTATTTTATTTTATTTTATTTTATTTTATTTTATTTTATTTTATTTTATTTTATTTTATTTTATTTTATTTTATTTTAATTTATTTTAAGTTTATACGAAATAAAAATCAGTCACTAAAAATCTTTTCTAAGAAAGAAAACATATGTACATGCAAACATTCGGTTACACCAACTAATTGCATTGCCTTGTAGTTAAAAATAAAATTAAAATAATTATGTACGCAATTCAAATGTAATATAAACAAAATTGAAATTGAGCTCGCCTTTGTAATTGAGTTGATGCTGTAGATAAGCGTACATACACGTATGTATGTGTAAGGTTACTAAAGCATATTAGTACATATTCGCTTACTGTAAGTAGACAGCGAAGTAAGAGAATAATATATATATATATAAATGATTTATGCGAATAGTTGAACTAGAGACGAATCATTAAAATGTAATTTATTTAATAGCAATTTAATGAATTTCAATTTAATGCAATAATTAATTGTTAAGTTCACAACACTTACATATGTATAATCATACAAACAACAAATACATGTACATATACTAGTACGAACAGCACAAAAAGCGTAAAATGTAAAAAAAGCACAAATTCATTGAACCTATGATTAAATGTTAAAAATATTAAAATTAAACAACAATTTAATGACAACAAAAAAAATAAATTAATAAAATTCACTTTCATAAAACACAAAAGTTAATATGCGAACACAAAAAATTAACACATATACACACTCATAAATTTTGATTAATACCATTTATCCTAGAAAAGAATAAAATAAGGATTGACTTTATTCTTAAAATTAGAAAAGTCTAAAAAAATTGCAAATAGCACTAGGAAAGCAGAAATAAAACTAAAAAAATTAAAAAAAATGATCATTGATAATAAATATAGAAAAAATTAACAAAAAAAAAACACACACACACACAAAGAAACACTCAAACTAAGTTGATTGAAAAGCTTACTAGTGATACTAATTTTAAAAATATATCTAAAACTCACATGTACATACATACATACATACATACATATATACACAAATGTGTGAGAAACTAATTTATAAATAGTTGTTTAAATAAAAGAACAAAAATATGCAAACAAAAACAAAATTCCTGCGTACTACTTACATACATACTACATACTTACTTTCAGTAATTTGTGATTAAAACATTATTTCAACATAAACACACATACACATGTATAATCCATATGCATATTACGTAAATATAATATAAACAAATTCCTTCACCTGCAAACAAACCGCATAAACTCACACACGCACACACACACACACACGCTCGCAAGCATATAAAATATATACTAGCTTCAGCCACTTCAGCATAAATTCATACGTATCCTTATGTACATACATACATACATACATATAATATATATATAAATTAACTAATTAAAATAAATATTAATTGGTAAAATGAAAATTAAATTGTGTTGCTGTTTTTATTTAATAATTGCTTATGTGGGCATTAATTAAATTTTCGAAATCACACGTTCATAGGCACATTTATATGTACACACACGATGTGTGATTATTGCGAGAAAATTAATATTTTGGTAAGTGTCAAATTTTAACTGACGCAAAGGAAGGATCTCAATACTTTGCGTATATAAATTTTTATATTTTTCATGTACTCGAAATGGCAAACAAACTTTGTACCGATGTATGAATGTACGAGTAAGTACCAGAAGGAGAAGAGATAAACTTAACAAAATATATGCTGATACTAAGCCGCCTCCGAACGGCCGATGGATTTCAATGAGCAAATTTAATCTCATGTCAGAAATACAATCGGAGGTCTTGACATTCCCAGCCGACGGGTGACCACCAATACAAAAATTCACTTCATTTAAATTTTTTTTTTTATAATTCGGATGTTGGTCGGGTCAGGCCTCGAAGCCTGATCTTCCGAATGGTAGTAAGCTTTTCTACCCAATTGGAATTTAGATCAAAGCTTCTACTTTTGATGATGACTGCAGTAAATGCTCTAAAGGCTGTTCTCTACGTTGTTTCTATTCCAGCAAGGATAGTCTTTGTTTCGATATGTCCGTATGTTCATATCTCATCATGTCTATAATGTCATTCAGTAATTCTGTAACGTCGTTGACTTCAGGAAGTCACCTTCCATTCACTGTTTTTATTTTCCAGCAACGCATTTTATACAAAAAACTTTCGGCCTTATGCCGAATATCGTTGTTGTTGTTATTGTTGTTGTAGCGGTTCGCTAACCCCGCTTAGGCACAGTTTTGATCATTTTAAGTCGCCAAGGTCATCTAGTGGGAAGTCCAGGAAACGAGCTGTTTCGACGGGGTTGGACCAGAGGGAGAGGAGGGTTAGATGAGTTGGTTTGAGAAGGCATATGAAGAGGTGGTTAGTGTCATGCGGAGACTCTCCACATGCAGGTCATACATTGGGTATGCTGGGGTCTGGATAAGTAGAAGTTTAACCTGCTACAATATCCAGAGCGAATATCGTCTACGTCTTCGCTGACAATCGTATGTGCATCGCCACCTTCCTCGCTTAGTCTTTATTAGGGTGTGCTGTGGATGTGGAAACCCTGTAAACGGGAAATTCTCTGGATGTTTGGTTAAATCAATAAAACCGGTTTCAAATGGATTACGCTCAAGCTCAAGCGTTGAAGAAGATAACAGTAATTGAAATGTTCGTCGAAGACTTTTAAAGCAACAAGCAGGCATATTATCTTAACTAATTCCTCTAATAGATTCATTTTTTTACCATTAATTTCTTGAATTTTTTTATGGGGCTGGTAGTGAGGTGGTCGTTGTCAAATTTTACGCGAAGTTCCCTCAAATAAAATTGAGTTCTTGTCGTTAGGCGCTTTAATTTCTGCAACGTCTGTTACATTGAAGAGTCGTTAGCAATATAGCTAACGATAAGAAACGACAGAAAACGATAGCGATGGATTTTCAATGCCGATGACGATATTCAGCATTAGACCGATTGGAAAAAGTTTCATGACATAACATAATCCATATGGCAAGTTCATCAGTGACTTCTCTAATTTAGATTCGGCGATCGTTCATACCATTTCTTTCACTTTTTTCGCTTTTCATACCCTGGCACACCGGGCGTTTTAGGCGTTCCTCATATTCATGAGCTTCTTGAAAGCAATTAATCCTCTCGTTGACTCTCGCTTTAGTCGTAGCAGACTCACTAAAGGCTCTTGTTAATCTCTCATAGACTTTTTTATATTATATTTTATTTTTTGCGAAAAATTTAATACAAATACTTTGAACCATTCCCTTTTACAAGCGAAAATCGCCGAGCTCATAAAAACACATCTGCGAATTGTTGGTATGGAATAAAATGGAAGTAGATTTTCAGAAATTCGATATCGCGCAGTATAAAATAGTTCAGTAATCCACTAATAAAACTTCAAAATTTAAATGGGGATTAAGTCTGGATAATAGAGCATCCGTTGCTGAAATGATCAAGCTGAATGAAATTGTTTAAGTAAAATTTGGAGTTCCAGCGTCAAATTGCATCAAAATAATTTAATTTCCATTTGTAACATTTGCCATCATAATCATAGTATCTGGTTCAGATTTACTGTAATCAACTCGTGTGCGGTGCCCCCTAATTCGCTTTCAATAAACATTTCAATCACCCGCGTAAATCTCTTTCATTGTATATTCCAATATTAAGTGAAAGTATTATACAT